TAAAGGTCAAGATTCCAAATGCAAACTACTGACCTTGTACCAGTTTTACCACTAAGGGATGCTAATTCAATAGTAAATAAAACAATATAAACAGCGATTAGTTGAATATAATAAAAAAAAAGTAAAAAATATAATTAAAAAACAAACAAAACGAAATTGGTGGTCTAAGTAAGCATTGCAAAATATTGGAATTGTGGTGCTGTCACAATAGCACCATCATTTGGTCGATAAGAGAACTACCCTCAGAGGAACTTTGATGTTTGTATTTTTAATCTTTCTTTTGTTTTGTTTTTTGATTATCTTTTCATGAAGGCTTCAGAATGACAACCAGAATGTCAAACAATCAGCCACAAAGAGAAGACGAACAGACATGAAAGCAAACAGGCTGCACACTGTGAGAATTAATCATTTAACGCTCGTCCACGCCTCCTCACCTGACAGCATTCATCCAAACGTGTCGTCTCATTCTTTCCACACCTTAACCTCTTAAGCCCCAAGCCTAACTGATCTCCAGCCTTTTGCCCCCGTATCAGGGGGCGTTGGGGCTTAAGAGGCTTTGTTCCACTTCAACTCTTTGTGTTTAAATTGACCACAAAAACTGAATGCAGTGGAACCAGAAAGAGGCCAGACCAATCAAAAGTGCAATAATGAGGTGGGATGTAAATAAATCCTGTGTTAACACCTGGTGTGTACTTAAGAATTTTTATGTTTCTTTCTATTTTTAAATGCAAATCATGTACTTTATAAATCTACGGAGCCCCGCAGGGGACATGGGAGAAAAAAAAATTAAGACGGACTTTTGCGAGATCTCGCAAAACTATCTCGGGATCTCGCAAAAGTTTTAGCCGCATTCTTCCCGTTAGCTTCGAGCTAACGGGAGGTCGAGACCTACTACAGCCGGGAGGAATCGTGCCTCGACTCGTGCCTCGACCTCCCGGTCGGCTTCGAGCCGGCGTCCGAAGAATGCGGCTAAAACTTTTGCGAGATCTCGCAAAAGTCTGTCTTAATTTTTTTTCTCCCATGTCCCCTGCGGCGCTCCGTATAAATCCATTTATTTTACAGTAGGAGTTACACTGTAGGCTGAAACCAGCAAACATGTCACACCAGCTGTAATCCTGTAACCTGTAACCTGTGTATGTCAGTTAGCCTGCAAAAAAACAAACACAAACAAAACACCATTAAACCTTATTTTGGGATAAAGCCTTCAAACCTCTGAAGCTTGTAGACTAAAGACTGTAGTTTTTATGTCTTGGTGATCACTGATGTGGAATTTCTGTTATTACTGTTAATTCAGTCTTTTAAATAACTGTCAGGAGGAATTTCCTAGACTGTGGCAAGAAGAAGCATCAGCCTGCACAGCTGCAGTTCCCCTAATGGCCACTTGAGACTCCAGCATTGAGTCAGTCCCCATAGTCTCCCATGTTAAAATGGTTGGCTTTACTGCAGAAATAACATGTTTACAGGCTGATACAGGAAACTGTTTTGTTACTACAACCTATTTCATCCTTGCTGACTTTGTGAAGACTGTTGGGTTTGATCTAATTATTACATTTTGCTTTAATATGGTGGTGGGGGTGGCTGTAGCAGCTAGCTGTCTGCTAGATAACAGGACCTCTGTGTTTGTGCTGTTGGAGGCAATTATCTGACCAATATCATGGCTGCTGTGAGGTTAATTATTGTCACAGATCGGCAAAATTCAAGGAATGTAACTTAGTGCTAACATGCTAACTAGCATTAGCTGGTCTGTTTGCACTCCACCACCTCATCTAAATGTGGTCACTCCAGAAACAAAAAACTAACACAGCAGGATTCAAAACCAAAGGGTGCCTAAAACCAGTCTGTGCGTGAGACTTTGTAGACATAAATCTAAAAATCTGAATCTGGAGAGAAATTATGTCCTGTTATTACAGATGAAGCTACACAGTAGCATAGAAAGTAAATGAGCTCCAGTCACATTATTAAAAATATAGTACTTTTGCTTAGATTATAGTAATACTTCATCACTGAAAGAGCACTACGCTCTAAACTGCTTCAACATTTTGGGTCTTTGTCAATGTGAATGTTTTGCTTCAGTGCAGTAAGACTATCCAGCTGCAGTATGGGAAATGTAGGATTTTTGGCTGCTTTCTTTGTGTGTCATTCAGGCCTCTAAGAATCCTTCAACTAACTTATTTATCCTTTTCTCTTCAGACGTGTTGATAAATCTCTCACAAACAAGGTCAAACTAAAAAGTCTATCAAGCCAGAGAAGGATATTTGACCTTCATGCACCACCACCCATAACATTTATATTTCCTGTAATATCTCCTCACAGACATAAAATTTGAGAGTATAAAGCTGGTTTTACATAAAATGTTCTTATGTAAGTCAGACCTTTCCTTCTGATAACACATCAGTAAAGTGTGTCTGTTATCAGAGATGTTGTGTAATGCCGACAGGCTGATAGTGAACGTTATAGAGAATATTTTGTGTGAACATTAACCACAGATATGAGCTCTTACAGTGAGTACAGAGGCAATAACAGGTCCTTTACCTTGGAGTAGGGGTAATAATCTCCACTCATCCTCTCCGGCTGATAAATAGATCCTCATGTGCTGAAATAAGCTGCATTAGATCCTGTGACAGTGATTGTGGGAAGCAGCAGCTCGTCTCAGACCTGTCTGAGCACAGCTATTATTCTTACTCAGCTAATGAATCCACTCCCAAACCACTCCTTCTGCTGGTATGAGGTGTTTACCTGCACATGAGTCTGACAAGACGCCGGTCCACCCACAACAGGCTTTTTCACACTGCCACAGCCGTGAAGGCTGTGAAACACAAGCGTGAAAAAGAACAACAGAGAACTTCAACAGGCTGCACAGAAGAAATCTCACCACAGGCTGACAGTCCTGTGACTTTCATTAATGTTCCTGAACCTGTGCTCCTCTGACATCAGTGAAATATAATGTGGCACTAGCATTCATGTCACTGTTTTCCAGCTTTGTTTCATTCTGGGAACAGAGGAGCTGTGCACTATTAACAGTTCAAAATAATCTTTACTGGTGCTGCACAAATCACTGTTCAGTCCTGTGGTCAGTCTGTGCAATAGAGACACAGTTAGTTACACAAGAAAATGGACAGTATAAACATGTAAGCATTTTTTACTCTTTGACTCTACAAGCGTAGCTGTGCATGATTCAGAGCTTTGGATGAGCTGATTTCTTTCACCAGTTTTCAGAGGTGTGCTGAGGAACAGCAACAAGTGTTTCAAGCTTACTTCTTAGCAATTTGGCAGCTGCCATGTTACTTTCTGTGGGACCAGAAGCAACCATATTTAGAGGAAAGGGTGGAGTTTGAAGAAAAATTCACTGAGGTCAGAGATCAGGTGAGCAGTAGACTCATTTTGTCACAGAGTTCTATTCAGTCAGACTCCTTTTTTACTCCTTTTTCCTGCATAGTAGGAGGAATGCAATGCTTCACTTTACTGACCTATATGCTGTGTCCATCTTTGATATACAGTTTATGTTTGGTTTACAAACATGATCAGGTGAAACAAAGATGAACTGAAATAAATGAAAATATTGAGTTAAATGTGTTATTCAGGTGAGTTCAGGCATGCAGAGACCGTTTCTTTTAAAGTCATTTTGAACTTCAGGTGATTGTTTTGCTATTTCTCAGCATTCTTAAAAAAACCCCCAAAAAAACCACTGTGGTCATGCTGAGGTGTTCATGTTATTCTGTCCATCCCACCTCCAGCTATGATGTAATGATTAAATGATGCAGAGTTTATTTGTGCTTGCACAAGTTTACCCATGAAAACCTCAGCATGTGTCAGAGTGTGTTAGTGTGACATTTCCTTAAGATGATGATTGAAAAACTTTATTAACACAAGCAGCAACAGTATGTTGTTAGTAACAGACTCTAGTCTACATTAAATACTCATTAACTTCTCCAATTAGTGATTTGTAACAATGATGTAAGCATATGCAAAGTGACAGCATTACAGTAGGGCCGGATTAAACGCTAAGCATGGCCCCGGGCAAAGAGGTGGTTTTGGGCCCCACATAAAGGGAACGTTAAAGGAAAACTAGTGTGAACGATTCTTGGACTAACTTAATGGAGTCAGGCTTAGGATCTTAGGATCGAGACATTTTCATAGTGTGTAATCCAAACAACACAGCAGATTATTAATGACAAATATATGAAAAAGAGGCCGGGTACAAACTCCGCCAGAAGAGGAGGTCACATGTCTACCAAAGGTAATGCAAAAGCCATTTGGAGCGATCTTCAAAAAACAGTCAAATAGTTTTATCCATTTATTCTGCTTAAACCTCCCATCCTACCTGAATAGAGTCATGTAGGATGAGGTTCGAATAAAATAAGCGCTTTATAACGAAGAACCAATATGCTGCTAATAAACAGAAAAAGAAAGGTGATTGTGTGCACCTTCATGTTAAGTGTTACCTGTTCATTAAATACATTAAAGACGTGATGCTTGCTGAGCTGGAGCTTCATCCAGAGAGTCTTCTGTCAGCAGCTTGCAGTGATGTTCATAAAGAAGAGTCATTTATAATTATTAGAGATGGTTTACAGTGAGTCACCCAGTTGCATCAAACTGCTGCTGTTGCTTATTTTCTTTTTACCACATGACGATTCTTTCACAATAAAAGACTGAGATGTTTTGTAATGTGGCTCTCTTCCCTCTCCTTCAGTAAATATTACCCAACAGAGAGTGTGAATCACAAACAGGCTCCTCTGACATCACCCACCCCATCAGTCACTTCACAGTGAAGCATTTAAAGGGCAAACCAAAGCAGCACAACTCTGTCACCTACTTCAGGTGTTTATTATCATGATATAAATAAAACTGCTTCAGAGAACCGCTGTTATTAATACCAACATGAGCTTAGGTATTAAGTGTTATTTTTCTGTATTCCAAACTTTTTTCAGCAGTGATTCAATTTCTTTAAATTTAAATAGTCTGAACAGCTTCACAGAAACATAACCAGACTAAAACTTCTCTTGAAATCACTCTTTTTAATGAATTTTGTGTGTTAAATAAAAGAGAAACATCCAAACAAAATACACGTTGAGGAAACCTGATACACACCCCGTCCCCCAATTAAACTGTGGAGGTTCAGTAGTCTGTAAGCCGGGTCTGGGGTGCAGACCTGGAGACCTCCACTCTCCTAAAAGGGTGAGTGCCAGCACTGTGGGACATAAATCTGGACAGTATGTGCTCTTTCTTGGTGCTGAGGAGCTGCTCCAGCAACAGGCCCTGCTGGTGCTCCCGCTGCTCCTGAGCCTTCAGCTCTGAGTGGAGCTGCTGCTGCTGCTGCATCTGAGCACGGAGGTCGGCTTGGTATGCCCCAGCTGCCTGCTTCTGCCTGCGGGACGGACAGACAGTAAGTCAGACACACGGATATCAGACACACGAACAGCACTCGGCCGTTTGCTGACCTACCGTCTCTTCTCCTCCTCCTCCTTCTGATTCTCCTCCTCGATAACTCGCTCCAGCTCCTCACACTCCTTTTTCACCTGGGCTTGTTTCTGCAGATTAGCATACACTGGAGTGCACAGACACACAGACGCAGACACACACACACATTAAGTGAGCATTTAAACAGTGAAACGATTAAAGAATTCAAACCGAAGTATAAAAACTGCCTCACATTTGTTCTGGATCTGCAGGTGCTGCGCCTCCATCACCTCCTCTATCAGCCTCTTCCTGGCCTCCCTCTCCAGCCGGCTCTTCTCCTCTCGTTTAGCCCAGACCTCCTTCAGCTGCTCCTCTATCAGCTGCTCCATCTCCTCCTCCTCTTTCCTCTGTCTCTGCAGCTCCTCGAACAGATACTCTCGGTACCTGCGCTGCTCCTCACGCAGCTCCGCCTGAATGCGCACACACACACACACACACACACACACACACACACACACACACACACACACACACACACACACACACACACACACACAC